TGTTATGCCTTGTAAACATAACCTCAATTTTTTATTTAATGCCATTGGTAAACAACGTAAGTCAGTGGCGCAAATCTGGGGATGACTAAAATCAAAAAAATTGCTCGGCCTTGGAAATTCAAAGGGGGGATGCTGGACATCACATGACACTAGTGGGCGCTGGTCATTATACCGATGTACACCTTATACATGTATATACTTACGACCCTTAATCTTACATCAAAGCTGAATACATTTTTGCTGTTGGGAAGTAAAACAAATACCTCGAAATCCGTCTTTTTCGTTACTCACCACGAAAAAGTGGGAGGATGATCCAACAGCCCATCTCCCCTGGTCAAAAAATGTGTGCGTGTGTGTGTGTGTTCCTGTATTGTATTACGCTCAAGGACAGACACCAAATGGAGCACAAAGGGCCCATTCATCCTCGAACGACGGTGCCTATTGTCCTCGAACGCAGGTTTGTGCACTAAGTCTATGGGAAAGGTTTAGATCAGGGAACAAAGGAAAACACAAAGCCAATACTCGGAAGCATAGCAAAAAACGACTGTGTGTGTGGCTAGGCATTACATTCACTGCGTGGACTTCCGAACAAAAGAGGTCCACATAAACCAGCTAGAGGCGGCGTTGTGTGGACTTGGGCAAGTCAACACAGTGTCTCCCCATTTGTGGCATTTAGAGGCATTTTGGGGTTAGGTTCATCCGTGGCAAAATGAAGAGAAACACTAAAGGGAATCGTAGACAAAAAATTGGATTGAAAGAGTTTTCACAGTGAGAGTAAAATATTTTTTTCAAAGGTTTTTCTTAACTACACAAAACCAAGGGAATGTCCACACTTGGTATGTAACGCAAATGCGCGCGTGTGTGTGTGTGTGTGTGTGTGTGTGTGTGGGGGGGGGGGATTTATACCCCCCCCCCCCAATTTACGTCCCTGAAGAGAGTTACTTATGATCAAAAGTAGGACTTTTTTTGTGCATGTGCTGGATATTGCTGGTTGCGTCCCGGATGAAAAATGGGAGAAAAAAATATAACTTTGAGTGGCCATATCATGTCATCCTAGCCCTAGGGATCGCTGCCCACGTAGATTAGTAAAATTGAATGAACGGAAGCCCACTGGTTCAGGCTTTTCCACAAATTACATGTTTCAACCAAATGGTAAATTAATCATTATTAGATGTATAAGGTATCACAGTATTCATGGAGATCACGTTGGAGATCACGTCATAGGCACTACAGCGCACACTGTCCAAGGGTGATAAAAGAGAACGCACCTGTAGTGTTGCAGCAGTTGACGCCGTTATGTCATTACGTCAGGTTCACGTTTTGGACTCCTTTTGTTTTTGGATCCAGCTCATTCGGACTTGAGCTCGTTTGTACTTGAGCGCGCCTGGACTTTCGCTAGTTTACAGTGCATCCGAGGATATTCGGACTACTACTCGTCCGGACCAGATGTTATCTGGACATCGCCTTTTGGGACAACTGAGACTCTGAAGAGGCTTTAGTCATCCCTACTGCGCACTTTATTTTCGGACTTGAGCTCGTTTGTACTTGAGCGCGTCTGGACTTTCGCTAGTTTAAACCCGAGGATATTCGGACTACTACTCGTCCGGACCGGATGCTATTTGGAGATCGCCTTTTTGGGACAACTGAGACTCTGAGGAGGCTTTGGCCATCCCTATTGCGCACTTTATTTTCGGACTTGAGCTCGTTTGTACTTGAGCGCGTCTGGACTTTCGCTAGTTTAAACCCGAGGATATTCGGACTACTACTCGTCCGGACCGGATGCTATTTGGAGATCGCCTTTTGGGACAACTGAGACTCCGAGGAGGCCTTGGTCATCCCACTGCGCACTTTAGTTTCGGACTCGAGCTCGTTTGTACTTGAACGCGTCTGGACTTTCGCTAGTTTAAACACGAGGATATTCGGACTACCACTCGTCCGGACCGGATGCTATTTGGAGATCGCCTTTTGGGGACAACTGAGATTCTGAGGAGGCCTTGGTCATCCCACTGCGCACTTTACTTTTGGACCTCAGCTCGTTTGTACTTGAGCGCACCTGGACTTCAGCTAGTCTTAACTCGAGGATATTCGGACTACTACTCGTCCGTACCGGAGGTTGTTTGGAGATCGCCTTTTGGGACAACTGAGACTCCGAGGAGGCCTTGGTCATCCCACTGCGCACTTTAGTTTCGGACTCGAGCTCGTTTGTACTTGAACGCGTCTGGACTTTCGCTAGTTTAAACACGAGGATATTCGGACTACCACTCGTCCGGACCGGATGCTATTTGGAGATCGCCTTTTGGGGACAACTGAGATTCTGAGGAGGCCTTGGTCATCCCACTGCGCACTTTACTTTTGGACCTCAGCTCGTTTGTACTTGAGCGCACCTGGACTTCAGCTAGTCTTAACTCGAGGATATTCGGACTACTACTCGTCCGTACCGGAGGTTGTTTGGAGATCGCCTTTTGGGGAAACTGAGATTCTGAGGAGGCCTTGGTCATCCCACTGCGCACTTTATTTTGCAAGGTACGTTTTATACATTTAATACTCATTCATAGTGATATTTTATTGCAGGTTTTCAAGTAGCCAATCGACGGAGTATGACCAGTTAGGCTGTATAGGTGCACTGTCTGTGCTCTTCAACAAAAAGTGAGAAAGTCACTTTTTTAATTTATATTTCTAAGACACAAACTACAATCTGCTTGAAAAAAAAGGTTTTTATTTTGTTTTCTTCGAGCCCAATGTAATTTGAATTTATGGAGTAATTAAACTCTTAAAGTGGCCGATGTATCCAATCGATAACTTTTGTGTTGTAGCAATTTCAATGAAGAATGAATGCATTTCAATGACAGATTAACATGACGATTGGCGAAGCTTAATTGCGTCGTCGAGTTGACCCCGCGGGCCTTAGTTAAGGAATCACTTTCGAAACAAAACTACAAACTTCTATCCAATAGGTTCAGAAAAATGAGTTGGAGTTTGGAGATGGGTAATAGCAATTTTTCAAAGAAAATTAAAATTTGTCTGAATCAAAGACAAGCATATCGGGGTACATTTTCGTGCACTAACGCTACTCCCATTCAGCATGAAGTGCATATAGCAACGAGCCTACACAGTGAGTAAAAAAGGACGAAAAGAAACCCAAATGGTGCCCAAAGGATGTTTGTGTTCAAAATTCCATAACTGCAAAAGTACATGAGCGATATGAATGATTTTTTCACTGAAAGAAAGCTTATTAATTTGGCTTTCATATCGTAGATCTGGCAAGTGCTACATGCAGAACTTCTTTTAAACATATGGGGCACCATTTGGGTTTTCTTTTTTACTCACCCTGTATGTAGACAGCTCACCACTGCACTAGGCATTTTTTTTAATTTTTGATAATCAGTTTGTTCTCAGGCATCCATGACAGTAAGGATGCAAGGCGGATAGCAATGGAAACGTTTGTAAAACATCCTATTCAGATGAAAGCATGCTGGCAGAACTTATCTTTACATCTTTGCAAAACCAACCAATTATTTTTGGATTTCCTCTAACTGGACTGTTTTTATCAGACCCCACCCACTGTCTTCATTTTACTTGTTATATTTTCTTTTTACATTTTTTTCTGACAGAGGTGTACAAAATGTAGTAATTGCTCTACGAATCTCTGAAATACGGGTTTTTTTTCACCTGGAATAGCCTTTAGGTGCCGGCTGGACTCGATTTCATACAGGCCTATAGTCTAGAAACTCATTTTTGGATTTTTTAAAGACCAAAATGGAGTTAAAATGAAGACAAAGTGGTTAGGGTCTGGAAAAAAAACTACCTATTTTCCATTCGAATCTTTTTAGGGGGCTGCAAATGACCAAATGCCCAGTTAAGTTTATTTTTCCATTTTTTTAAATCAGGTTAAACTCTTCTCTCTTTTTTTTTGGGGGGGGGGGTTCTGTTCCGACAGCCTTTTAGTTAAAACGGTAAAGGTTCGGCGGTCGCTCACCACTGGTGGCCGGTCGGATAATGCACTTCGAACCAATATAAACATTTAAAAAATTCTTTCGTCCCGTGCGCACGAGGTCGAAGGAAATCAGCACGGCTCCTTTCCGTACGAGTGCCAAAATAACCATGTGCCTCGGGTACCATCCACCAAATTTCGGATCGAATCTCGGAGCTGAATCGCGCCTGGCTTTACCGTGGCTGACTCCCGGGCTACGCCGGTGTCATATGAAAATCCGACTCCTTTGAAAATCGGACTCCTTTTCCCTATAATTGTTTAATTCCTCACACGTGACAGGCCTCTATCTTATATGTATTCCTAAAAATAGTATATCATCGTACTTACGCATGCGCAATACTACCAATGAGTCCATAATTCATGGAGTCGGATTTCACACTACACCATCGTGCAACGGACGGTCACGGCCGGGGATTGTGCGTACTGGGCCCGGGCCGCCCGAGGCGAGAATCACGCTGGGCGCTATATATATCGGTCAGCGGCAAATACTACATTACCGTCAAGCACTACTTAAACTTTCGAAGATAACGAAAGCAATATTAACATTCTCGATATTGTAGCGTAGAACAATTCTGGGGTTCCTCACACGCACTCAAACGGAACTCCAACACAGGTATACTCGTTTCTGCTGGTTCTAGGCTGTTTATTCCTCACAAAAACGTAAACCGCAAGACACAACTATTCTCTTCAGCAACGAGGCAACAACAATACTACTGCGCATGCGCCGCCCGGAAGAACGGGCCTCCCCGGCCGGCCACCAGGGGCTCCACTGCGCGGCTCCACCGTGGAACCGCGCTGGTGCCTCTGGCGGCCGACCGGCACGGACGCCACAAGCCCCCTTTGAGGACCTTGTTTGTCCCCAAACAGAGCGCCGGCATCCGCAACCGGACAACCAGAAAGACCCGGCCCGGAGGCGCATGACACAACAAAATTACTACAGCATTAAAAAAAATAAATAAATGCAAAAATGGCAAGGAAAGAACAAGAAATCAAAGAACAAGTCTAAGGTTTAGTTGGTGGGTGGCGGCCGGCGCTGGAACTCCGTTTGCCGGAACAGCTGCTCCCAGAACTCTCGGGGGACGCCATCGGGGTAGCGCGGGGGCGGAGGCGTTCCAGGGGGCAGCATTCCTCCCAGAGAAGGTTGAGCGGACGCGGAGGGATCTACGAAGTGCTTGCCGTACTGCTGTCCCTGGTACGTCTGCAGGAGACGCTCAGGCACTTCATAGGTGTGGACCACCCGTGTCCGCATCAGCCAGTGGCCGACCTCATTTGCTCCATGGACTGTCCTTTCGAGCCGCCATTCGTCCCGCGCATGCTCGCACAGGGGTTCCAGCATGTGCGTGGCGGCCTCCCTGGTGGTGTCGTCCGGGTGGAGGGCGCCGGCCGTCTCCAGTCGCAGCGAGGTCCCGTCCGGAAGGCTCACCCGAGACCCGGCCGGCAGAACCCTCCGCTGGCCATTCCACGGTTGGACCGGAACCTCAGGGGACATCGGGGGTTCCGTCTGCATTCCGCCCTCCGCCTGTGTCGGCTGGGGGCGACTAGGGCTTGCTTCCGCTGCCCTGCTGAAGCGAGGACGCCTGCCCTGGGCACGGCTCCAGGGAATCCGCCGGTCGGGACTCCGCCAGGGTGGTGGCTGGCAGGGTCGCTCAGCCCGGTCCCGACTCCGCCGACCAGGCGACCTGCTCTGTTCAGGGCGGGAAGGCCGGGAGGACCGCTCCGGGTGGTCGTGGCCCCCCGGCCCCCCTGACGACTCTGGACTTACCCGTCTTCTTAGTGGCGGCGGCGACGGAGACCGTCCTGCCGGACCACACCGTACGAATGGAGGTGGGTATGGGGTCCCCTGCCGGGAGAGATGAGGCGGGGACGGGGCCTGTCCCATGTCGTCGTCACTGGCGTGCACCTCCAGCGCATCGGCCTCTGCCATCACCACGGCCACGCTGTCTCCTTGGCAGAACCGGTGGTGTCTGGCGCGGACATCGGCCCTAAAAACCGAACTCCGCATCCTCTCTGGCAGGGGTATGGGCGCTCCGGTTGGAGCGCCACTCACGCGGTGTTTAGGTGCCCCTTTAAGTTCCTCTTCCTCACGACCGTCTGGTCACAGTGCGGGCAATGAATCGGGGCCGGGTCCATCCTGCAGGGGGAAGAACAAGAAGAGCATTTGGTTATTTGTTGGCAATAACGGCTTTGTCGGATTATCTTCTGGCCACCCAGGGTGACTCTCCCAGGAGCCAGCGCCGATGGTGGTGAAGAGGGCTGTCCCCCTTCGGGCTCGGCCAATTCAGCATCGGATCCGGCGTCCTCGCTGCCCGGTCCTTCTGGGGCAGCAGCCGCCGTTGTCTCCGGTGGCAGTGTCCCCTTCCCCGTCTGAACTGGTAGTGGTCCCTCCTCGGCTAACTGACAACCCACCCCGGCCGGCGGGTCCTCCCGGGTAGTGTCAGTTGACGGACTCGGTGGTAGCGTCACCTCCTGGTCTTGGGTTGGTGGCGGTCCCCCTTTTGGCAGGTTCTGCGCTACGCGCCTCCACCAGTCCACTTCGGCGTCGCACAGATACGGCTTAAGCCGGTTGGAATAAACCACCTTGGCTTTGGCTCGAGGGGATTTTTGCACGCGGAACGTGACATCATCGATCTTCTGTGTCCCACCAGCACTGCAACTTGGGCGTGCGACCCACTTTCTTGGAGGGGGTATACAACCACACAGGTTGGCCAGGTCTATAGCTGGCACTTTCTTCTCAACGATCGTAATGTCGCTTTTGATATGTCTGACTCTTCCGCAGATGATGACGGGCAAACTCGTGGGCGCGCTCTATCTTTGTCCTCAACCCCTCCACATATTTGTGCTCTGGTGCGCCTGCCTTTGGTTTCTCCGGCTGGCCCACCACCAGGTCCAATGGAAGTCGCACTTCTCGGCCGAACATCAGCATTTTTGGCGTGAATTTTGTGCTGTCGTGCTGGGAGGAGCGGTACGCCATCCTCACGTACGGTAGGTGTTCGTCCCAATCGTCCTGGTTCTCATGAACAAACAGGCTCAGCATCGTTTTGACTGTGCGGTTGAACCGCTCCACCATCCCGTCGGACTGGGGTTGGCGTGGTGCGGGTCTTTTGGACGCCGAGCAGCTTACAGGTGCCCTGGAAGAGCTCGGCTTCGAACTCGCTCCCTTGATCCGTGTGGATCTCGAGGGGAGCTCCAAACCGGGTGATGACCTGTTCGACGAGGACTCTGACGACAGTCTGAGCGGTCTGGTCCGGGATCGGAAACTCCTCCACCCACTTCGTAAAATAGTCGGCCACCACCATGATGCTAGAATTCCCTGTCCTTGTCCTCGGAAATCGACCCGTGAGGTCGATTGCGAGGCGCTCCATCGGAGCCCCTACCAGGTACTGTTGTGGGGCCTTGAGGGTTCGAGGAGGTGACTTCTTTGCGACGTTCCGGGTAATCCCCGAATGTCCTGAAGTCCTATTGTCATGCGCGAGTCGCAAGACGTCGTCGACTTTCACCCATGGTACCACGACCTTCCATACCGGCGGTTCGTTATTGGGCTGCTCCCACTTCACCTGCAATATGCCCTGGGAGAGCCGTAGCGTCTCCCACTTAGCCCACCAGTACTTCAGGCCTTCACCCAGCGCCGAGACGTCCCGCAAGCTGGGTTTGGGGACCCCGTCTTCCAGCCACTGCACGATCTTGTCCAGCTCTGGGTCACTACGTTGTTCCTGTTTGAGTGCTTCCTGGTCCCAGGCTTCCAGGAGCCCTTCCGTGGTGGTGGCTTCTTCCTGCCCAGCCCCCGTAATGGCTCCCACCTGCACCTGCCCTGGTTGCGTCTTCCCAGCATCGCGCGACTGGCTCAGCTACAAGTCCACATCGAACTCGTAGCACCTCAGCCTCTGAATCCACCTGGCCGTCTGCCCCTCGGGTTCGCGGAAGTTGAACAGTCATCGCAGCGATCCGTGATCCGTTCGGAGCAGGAACCGTTTACCAAGAAGGCAGTGTTTGAAATAGTGAACGAAATGGACCACGGCCAGCAACTCTCTCCGAGTGGTACAGTAGTTGCGTTCGGCCTTAGACAGGGTACGGCTGCCATAGGCGACCACTCGTTCACCATCGTTCACCCCTCCTGCGACAGCACTGCTCCGATGGTGCAGTAGCTGGCATCTGTGTCCAGGACGTAGCGGCGCTCCGTATTCGGGTAGAACAACACGGGTGCGGTGGTCAATGCGTCCTTGAGGTGCTCCAATGCTGACTGGCAAGCACTCGACCAGGAGAACGCCCTTTGGCTCTTGGTGGTAAGGGCATGGAGGGGGCGAGCAATCTCGGCGAAGTTCGCAATGAAGCGCCTGTAGTAGGACGCAAGGCCTAGGAAACTCGGTACTTGAGTCAGGTTTGCTGGTTGCGGCCAGTTCCTGATGGCTGCGACCTTTTCCGGATCCGTCCTTACTCCCTCGGCCGACACGAGGTGACCCAAGAAGGTTGCTCGGAATCGCTCAAGGACCGTGGTCAGCCGCTTGTGGTGTTCCTCGAAGTCTGGCCCCCACACGATCACGTCATCCAGGTAGACTACCGCCACCTGCCACTGCAACCCCCTCAACACAGGGCATAACGGTGAACTGGTACAGGCCGTTCTGCATCCCAAAAGCCGTTTTCTCCCGGTCACCCTGGTCCATGCCGACTTGCCAGTAGCCACTGGCCAGATCAAGGGTGCTTAACCACTTAACCAGCGTCAAGGTTGTCCTCGATTCTGTGGATGGGGTAGGCGTCCTTCATCGTCACCTCATTGACTTTCCGGTAGTCGACGCAGAACCGGACAGACCAATCCTTCTTCTGGACCAGCACCTACGGGGATGACCAAGGGCTGTGGGAGGGCTCGACCACGCCATCCTGCAGCATCTGTTTTACCTGCCGGTTGGCATCTCGCCGTTTATGTATCAGCAATCTCCTCGGCGGTTGACGTTTAGGCGTTGCTGTCCCTGTATTTATTGTGTGTCGGGTCAGTTCGGTCTGACCAAGTTTGCCGTCCGGGCCAGTGAATGCTTCAGCGAATTCCGTCAGCAATTCAGCCAGTCGGGAAGGTCAAGGTTCGCGGCTCCTCGCTCCAGGAGGTCATGCAGATGGGGCGGTACCTCTCTCTGTGCATCCGTCCTCTGTCCGGTGTCACCCAAAGGGAGGTGGTTGACGGCAGATCCTTGTTGCCCGTCCTCCAGCTCGATCACATCCAGACCCTCCATCGGTGAGAAGAGAGCCAAGCGGCTGCCTTTGTAGACCGTTACACGGTCAGTCCGGCAATTGTCCGTAGCCTCCAAGCTGGGGTAAACCATCCCGACTCCCATCCGTGGTTCAGTCTTTATCTCCCCCGTGAGGATCGCCTCGTGACCAGCTGGGATTATCATGTTCTCCGTCACCTGCACTCTCGCCACCATGGGTTTGTTGCGTAACACCTCCCAAGGGGACTGCCTTCCCGTTAATGATGACAGCGTTGTCTCCCCATCGCCATTTGCAGTGATACTTTGACAAGAAATCAATTCCGAGTATCACGTCTGGCTCGATATCGGCCACGGTAAAGGTGTGGTTTGCGCGCAGATCCCCCACTTGTAGGTCGAAGTTGCCCCCCCCCCTCTTGTCGGCATGGGGCTGCCGTCCGGCATCCTCAGAGCTGGAGATGACGGAAGGAGGTTCGGTCTCTTGGTACCGGGCCAAGCGTTGTAGATTCGCTCCGAGATCAGACTCACTGTTGCTCCAGTGTCTAGGAGGCAACGCACTGGTTTCCCCGTGATCCTCCCCGCCATGTAATTCGCCTGAGACGTCCCACCCGAGGCTGGCCTGGCCCGAACAGCCGGCTCCGGAACAGGAAGTCTCGGTATTTCCTCTTTCTGTGGTCGTGGTTGGAAGAAACAGACTGCCGTTTCTGATGAGGGCAGTACCGCCTGATGTGTCCAAATTCGTGGCACCCATGTCACTCCACCTGCGCACCTGGTGTGTACACGGCCCAGGCAGCCGATTTGGGTTCCTCGGCAGGTTCCTCGGCAGGGGTTGGAGGAGGCTGGGCTACCGACCTCACGTCCCTAGCCATCGGTTTCCCTTTTCTGTTTTGCGCTTGCGACTCGAGAAATGCTTCCATTTCGGTCGCCAGAGTGACTGCTTCGATCAAAGTCGTCACTTTCCTGGAGAAGATGTGACGCTGCAGCTGTTCCTCTTGCAGGGCATTGCGGAAAGCCTCGACCGCCAAACCCTCACGGGCCTGTGTGGGCAGCTTCGGGTAGCTCTTTAACACCAACCGTCGGATGGATTGTCCTAGGCTACTGAGTGACTCGTCTCGGCCCCTCGTACGCATAGACAACTGAGCCCGATATAGCGGAATCTGTGCTGTCACCCGGAACTGCTGCTCAAAGTTTTCCAAAATGGAGGAATATTCCTTCCGCGTTCTCGGTACCATATCCGCCAATGCCTCCTGAGCCGGTGCCCTTTAGGTGAGATGCAAGGAACATCGCCTTCTCCGCCTCGCCCCACTGATTGACTGCTGCAACGCTCTCGAAATGGCTCAAGTAATCCGACCATGACGAGATCCCATCAAACTTGTTGGGGAGCATCAGTAGTCTCCGACCCCCTGGCCTGAAGTGATCAGGCGTTGTAGTCCCCCGCTTGACTGGCACTTGGGGAGCGCCCCCCCCCCCGCCTGTTTAGGGGCCGCCCAAACATTGGCAGAAACCGGGTCTTCCCCGGGAGCACCGGGTGGTGACGTCCCAGGGGATCTCCCAACTGCAGTGGTGTACGGCCGAGCAGCCGGGTCGGCTCCGCTCCGTTGGATTGTGTGCGGAGCAACCGTGCCGGCTCCGCCCCATTGGCTTGTGTGCGGAGCAACTCTGCCCAATTGACTCCCGTGCGGAGCAACCTCGTGGGTTCCGCACCATTAACTTATGTGCGGAGCAGCTCTGCCCCATTGACTCCCGTGCGGAGCAACCTTGCCGGCTCCGCGCCATAGACGTCCGTGCGGAGCAACCCTGCCGGCTCCGC